GCTTCATACTGTGAGGGAATTTACCAGTGGAGAGGGAAAGGTTAAAAATATGTACCAGTGGAGCAAGAATGAAATAGATTGATTCTTTAATGACAGAAACAGTTATATTATCATGACCAGGACTTTTACCTATTTTCAGTGCCTTCACTATATCTATAATTTCATGACCTTCTATTGGTTTCAGAAACATTGACTGTTGATATTGACCATTCATGTAAGATCTACACTTCAGCATGTCAATATTACTTGTATCTGTGAACATTGTCCCAATGCCTATGAAATATTCATTGAATTTGTTTGCAATATCAACAGGATCTGTAAGTTTCTTATTATTTTCATCACGAAAACAGTCTTGGTTCTTTCTTTTAATTCCCCTATTCAACATATTGTTAATAATATTCCAAGTTCGTTTACTACAATTACTTTCTTCAAACTGCTTTGCATAGAAAGATTCTTTTGACCTTCGAATAATTAAAGTTAAAGTATTTCGATACTGTCGGTATACTTTTTTCCTGTATGCAGAAGGGTTCTTCAAATACTTTTTGTATAGCTCTATCTTTTTCTTACATGATTTCAATATTGCTATTGTAATCCATGGTTTAGATTCCCTTTTTCGGCAACGCCTTTCTTTCAAAGGAAAACAAGAATTCTGTATGATATTAAATTCACTGAGAAATACTTCATAAGCTCTGTCACATGACTCTTCATGCATCACATATTCCCAAGAGTGTTCAGTCAGGGCAACCCTAAATTTTTCAAAGTTTGAGCGAGACATGTCTCTTGTATAAGTTTTATTGCATTGATCGCGCTTAAGCCAATCACTACGTTTTGACCGATTGAAAACAAAAATTGGAAGGTGGTCTGAAATGTCTGCCAGTAAAATACCGCTTTTTAACACTAGACTTGTGTCATTGACAAAAATATTGTCAATAAGAGTTGAACTTGACTGAACTATTCTTGTTGCCTTTGTTATGAGAGGGGCATAAGAGTGAGAAAAAACCATTTCCAAAAAAGAGTTGACATGTTGGTCAGAGTGTAGATCCAGTAAGTTTAGATTGAAATCACCTAAAAAGTAGCATGTTTTATTTTCGCGACCAACTTTCTCTAGAATATTGTTAAGATCTGATATAAAGTCAACACAGCTCTGAGAAGGAGGTCTATAAATTACTGCAATTATCAAGTTTTTACTATTACTGTGAGCTACCTCGATGAAGTAAGATTCAATATGTTCATTAAATAGAGATAGATCAGTTCTTTCCTTAATATGAAATGAAGTTTTAGCAAACATTCCAACACCTCCTCCACGGGATGGTCGCCCTTTTCCATAATATTCGTAGCCAGCAAGTGACAATAGACAATCTGGACCTTTCGAAAGCCACGTTTCGCTGAGCAGAATAAAATCAACTTTACACTTTAGCAAATCTAGAAACTCAGACATAGTATCAAAGTTTTTATTGAGACTGCGGCAATTAATATGCATTAAGGATATGTATTGTTCATCCAATAACAAAATTTCGTTATTAAGTTGATCAGGTAAGTAATACTCTGTTTCTTTGTCTATTATATTGTTCATTAGGTCTGTGCCGAAGTTATCAATGGCACTATCATTGCATGATTCTAGTAAATCTTTCAAATCAAAATTAAGAATAGGTAGTTGAGATGACATAATGACAAGTACAAGTACGAACACAACTTATGAAAAAACAAAAACAAATTTTAAAATACAAGAGATGTATAAAAATATCAGGATCCAAAAATTGACCCATCTGGAATTGTCTAAAAGTTTTTAAAAATTTCACAATTTGACACAATCATTTGTTTCTTTCCGTAATAAGTAATATTCTATCAGAAACAAAACATTTTATTCTATACAGTACGCCAATATTTCTGGAGATTGGTGTAACAATGTGTTTTACATGGTCGCTCCAGTCAAGTTTTTCATTGATATAGACACCAAGGAATTTCGTACATGTCTTTCTCTCTAAAGAAATATCATCTAGTTTAATATTAAGAGCAAGGTTGCCATTAGATTTTCTACCTCTAAAATGAATATAATTTGTTTTAAGAACATTGAGAGAGAGCACATTACTTCTAAACCATAAAGTCAACTTTGGTAGTTCCGAATTTAGTTTCTTTTCTAGAGTGTTGATTTCACGATGAGACAAGAAAACACTCGTATCATCTGCAAATAAGGTATAATTTAAAGTTTTAGATACATTACAAATATCATTGATATAAATGAGAAATAATAATGGGCCCAGGATGGATCCCTGCGGAACACCACATTTAAGATACAGAATGTCAGAGTTAACAGAGTTATAATAAGTGTACTGTCTTCTCATAGATAAGTAACTCGCAAGCCATTGTAAAGCTATGCCCCTTATTCCATAATGCTCTAACTTAGAAAGAAGAATTGAATGGTCAAGTGTGTCAAAATGCTTTACTCAGATCCATAAATACACCAATGACATGCTCGTGAGCAGCTAGTGCACTTGAAACGCGATCATAAAATTTCAGTAGCGCAAGATCTGTAGAATGAGACCGCCGAAATCCAAATTGATCAGGATTCAATGATTCACATTTATCTAAAAAACTGTAGAGCCTGTTATAAACAATTCGTTTCAAAACTTTAGAAAAGCTAGGCAGTAATGAGATTGGTCTATAGTTAGAAACGACCATCACGTCATCTTTTTTATGAACAGGAATCACCTTTGCCAGTTTGAAAGAAGAAGGAAACACTCCGGTCATCAAAGAGAGATTGCAAATGTGTACAAGAGGCGTTAGAATTGAACCAATGATCTTTTTCAATAAAAATGTACTGATTTCATCATGCCCAGAAGAGTGACTGTTTTTTAGCGATCTCACTACATTGAGAATTTCAATGTAATCCGTTGGTTTTAGAAAAATAGAAGTATTAGATGGTTCATTGAGGTACTGTGTGAAGTTGGTTCCATCTTTATTTATCATCTTGGCTTGATTTAGGCCAACATTGACAAAATAAGTGTTATATGCATTTGCAATATCTTCTGCATTTGTTATTTCTTTATTACCATGAACAATTTTTCCTGGAACTTCATGTTTTCCTTGCTTGCATAAAGTATCCTTTACAATTTTCCAGGTAGATGAAATATTGCCATTTGCACTTTCAAACCTCTTAGAGTAAAATAAACGACGTGAACATCGTATAATTGATGTTAATTTATTTTTATATTTCTTGTATTTTTCAACATTATCTGGTGATCGTTTTTTCATACTTCTTTTATATAGGACGTTTCTTCTTTTTATCGATCTAAGTATCCCTCTAGTAATCCATGGATGATTTCCTTTTCTCTTGTCGTTTAATTGCACATATGGAAAATGTTTATTAAAAAGATAATAAAACTTATTCCAAAATACTTCAAAAGCACTTTCTACATCGTCACAAATTATAACATCATTCCAATTTTCCGAGAGTAAATCTTCATTCAGACAAGAAACATTTTCATCAGTAATTTTACGTTTCTTTTCAATTCGCCTTTTTTGTGTTACATCAGTTTTGTGGTCAAAAAGTAAGCAAAACACAGGTAGATGATCAGATATTTCACAATAAAACAGACCTGATTGAGAAAAGCCTTTAGATGTTTTTACGAAAATATTATCCAACAATGAAGATGAACGATTACTAATTCTGGTTGGTTTATCAATCATAACACTGAATGCATTGGAATCTAGAATATTTCGAAGACGAAGTGAGTTTGGACTATTATTCAGTAAATCGATATTAAAATCACCCATAACACAAACAGATTTATTGAAAGAGTTGACAGTTGACATGAGCAATTCTAAATCATTTAAAAAGTCTACCATGTCTGTGCTGGGCGGTCTGTATATAACGCAAACAATAAAATTCTTTTCATTAGGAAGATCAACTTCAATACATAAGAGTTCCGCAGTTTCGTTTTGGAAAGAAATATCACGTCTGGGCTTAAAAGATAAAGAATCCGCGATATACATTAGAAGTCCGCCGCCCCTACCACTCGACCTGTCTTTACGTATTTGTTTGTAACCTTCTAAGGTATATAAAGGTGGAGATTGAGGATTTAACCATGTTTCGGTAATGCCTATAATTGAGCAATCGAACTGTAATGATGATAACAGGATATTCATATTTTCATTATTCTTACTTAGACTCCGAACATTACAATGTAAGAAACTAAGAAATTGTGTTTGTTGAGGTTGATCCTTTACAGGATTAAACTCATTAGGTACGTAGTACCTACAGTCAATATTTGGTTGTAATTGGTAATCTTCATTAGTCATTTAAGGATGAGAGTCTTGCAGAATTCGATATTTTGGTTGAATATAGTGACAGCATAAGTTGACACTGATTGGGGAGGCAAACTTGCCAATAGAGCGAAATAAAATAAAAACAGAAAAGATATGAAACATATGAAATAATAATCATCGTTATGGAGTTTAAGAATGTTAATCGTAAATATTGCCTACTTTATTAACTTGTTGATATCGTCTACTTCAACTTCTTGATATCATCCTTGGTATGGATGATGATCGCAGGTTCCTTCTCATCTTTCCTCACGAATATCTTGCCGTTGACGGTCCACACGAACTTGAAGCCCGCCTTCTTCCTTTCGACGTTCACGATTCCGAGCACCTCTCGGGTAACGCTTGTCAGGTTCTCGTTGACGTAGAATTTGTTTGCACTGCCATGAACACCGATGTCCCTGGTTGTGACATTCTTCAGCTTTTTTCGGCCATCGTATACTGCATTCCTTGCTCTGCGACTGTTAAATCGTACAATGATGGATCGTGGTCGACGATCTGCCCCAGCCCTTGGAGCGCCCAACCGATGCGCAATGTCGATGTCAGTCTCCTTCAGTGAAGGGGCAACACATTGGGCGACCTTCAAAGCCAACACAAGAGGACTCTCTTCTCTGCTCTCAGGAAGTGCTAATATTGTTTTGTTTTTTTTTGCTTTCAACTTTCTATAACAAATACTATAGGTCTCTTGATGGTGGATGTTTTGAATACGATGGGAAATCGGGTGTCCAGGTAGGCAGATATATTATACTAATACTATATACGACTACTAACATTTAGGAAAGCAATTTACTATTTGCGCCTGACCGGAAAACGCAAACAAATGTTCCTTTTCAAGTAATACAATCAAAGATAGCTCTTACAGATACAAAGGGGTGATTGGGCCACATTCTGTCTCGTGATTTTGATGGCTACGATTGTAATTAGCATATTTCTCTTCCCGTCAGTTGTCGATGGTTATATTGAACTGTTTGAACATATTATGGCAAAATTAGCGTATTTTTACGTACCCTATCCAAACACTAAGACTGGACGGCTCGAGAAAAAAAAGGTATAATATGACAATTACTATTAATTTCTGTTAACGAGGTATAACCTAGATCTAGGCATTATTATTAAACGTTTACTATAAACTGGATAAAGATTATTTTTTAAATCATAAGTAAGTTATATTTTCCCTCGTTATTATTTTCCCTATATCGCTGCTCACCCTACCAGTCAATTATGTATACTGTGGTTATAATTATTCATGTAATGTCCGCCTTTAAGCTATAATACAAAAGGGGGGTCTCACTATGTACCCGGTTTCGCATTACAGCATTAACGTGATTCAGTAACCATTTAGTCGCTCTGTATTTCATTATCTGTTCTAGTTCCAGGACGAGTGTCGACTCCTCGTAAAGGAATACCAGCTATCTACTGTGATGACTGCCAGAATGTGGTCCTGTCTCAGATCCTTCACCTCACTGAACCATCTCACCATCTCAGACTCCTCTCTCAGTTTCCCTTCATCTCCTCCTGAGCTTCCATCCGTCACAGAGCTATCAGCTGAGAGAGTGACGTCACAAAGCTATGAAGGTCTGCTCTCATCGCTTCCTGGCTTGAGAGTGATCGATATCACCATCGATGATGCAGAGAGAGACATAGCTCAGATCACGGCTGGTCTTCGTCGGACCGGAGGACAGCAGCTCACACGCATCAAGCTTACAGCACCGCCATTACTCCCATCAGAGAAGAAGAGTGTATCGAGAGAGACGATAAGAGGACTGGGTCTGCTGATCAGAGAACAAACCAAGAACCTGCAGCAGCTATCTCTGTTCTGGGTGAGGTGCACAGACGAGGACGACTTGGTTTACCTCCTCGAGTGCTGCAGACATATGAAGACGATGTCAGAGCTGTGGTAGGTTCTTGAATAAAATCTTGTATAAAATAGATTAAAATCCTACTGGACGATCCTGTTTAGTTAGTCTGCCGTGAGAAAGCATAATGAAACGAATGCGTGAAAGGATGCAAAGGTTAAAACGTGGGTATAACCTCCAAGTTTTTGACTGAAAGTTAGGATGGGTCTTGTTTGATTATCGCTCTCAATTGTTATTTTAGAATTTTCAATGTACCGGTACAGTTGCAATGAATAGAATTTGAATACCTGTAGATCTATTGTTGCATGTATTAGTATGAATCGTAGGAAGTTAAAATAACTTAGGCCATTTTGAATTTAAACAAAACTATGCAGATAAAATAAATTATCATTATTATAAATTTTCATTATTAGTTATTAGACTTCTATCATTGTTATAACTTTTAGGTCTAGATCTAGTTTATAATTGTTATTATTATTAATATTATTGTTGTTGCCACTACTATCATTATTATTATCATTTATTATTATTGCGTTTACTATCAGTATCAATATTTCGGGTTGCATTACCATTAGCTTTTTTTAAAGCAAAATGGCGAATCGCCGAATACAGCGAATTTAAAAGTTTCGTGCTCTGCAAGGAACCGTTAAAGACAAACTGTCCTTTTTAAAAATAATTCTAGATCGTTTTTCGGATGCATCGTCTAAGTAACATCAAGTTTCATGAGATGGAAGGTATGCCCCCCCCCCCTTTCCCCAGCCTACGTCAGCTCTTACTCTTCGACTCAGAATTTGTGAATTTTCGTAGCTTAAACAATGCCAAGCTGGGGAAATTTAACTTATTTTCCAGGTGTTTTAAGGCCGAATCACTTTTGGCTTAAAACTGATGCTCGTTAGCTGAACTTTTCCTCGAGTCAAATTTAAGCTGGAATTGATTTTGATAAATTTTTGGTAAAATGTAAGTGGCTCTGTAATCAAGGCTAGAATCTAGTCGATGTTTGGTCAATCGATCAACCACAAAATTGCGTCGCTAAACTACTGCAGGAGAGGTCCTTGAAAAGTAAGTAAATTCCGTTTGCTTCAAGAAAAATCATTCTGTTGACAACTAAATTGTTATTTTGTTAGAAGAAAAGCATTCCTCTCATTTTTAACCGAACGATATTTGAAATAAATATCAACTAAAAGCATTCCCCAAGTGAGATAAACTTAGTCTAGATCTAGATAGTTAAGATGGACGAATTGCACCGGTTCATGTACCGGTAGTACCGTATTTCCGCCCCATTCATATAAATGCATGCATGTCCAACTGTACTTGTCTGAAGACGTTAAATATTTGGTTAGGACAGGTCCAAATTCATTAGGAAATATAGTTTATTCTTGAAATTGATAACAAAATCAGTCTAAGCCTACCACGGGTTTAGGAATCATCGCGTTGTTTGGTTGATGATAAGTCTAGGTCTAGACTAGACTAGACAGTAGACTAGATCTAGAGTCTATATCTAGATCTAGACATCTAGATCTAGTGCTTATTATTGTAGATTTAGACTTAGATCTAGGCCTAGATTCCAAATTATCTACTTTGTCTTTTGCCGGTATATAGTCTAGGCAGTGCGGTATACATTGTTTTATGTTGATAATAGCAATCAACAATATCATTTTTTAACATGTCATGAAAGAAAATTGGACTCCACAGTGTCAGACCCAAGACCAAGTTAGATCTTGATTAAGATCTTAATGTAGATTTAGTCTACATGATACTAGATCTAGGGTAGATGTCTACCTAGTCTCTACATTGCACCCTTTGTGCAGGACTAACTTAAATCAGTTAGAAGTTGGAGTTCGTCCATTAGTCCTTGATGTAGATCTAGACTAGATCTACTTGTATTTTTGGGAGATCTAAATTGACAGGAGTTAGACCTAGATCTAATCTAGGCCTACATATAACATGTTAGCCTTTAGACTAGATGTAAATGTAGAATGTTATGTAGTAGGCTCATGAGTCGTGTATCAAACTCAATATTTTGTTTTCATTCATTTCATTTTCTTCAGAGTCGGAGATGGAGAGGACCTGGACTCTTGAGTCATATCCAAGAAAAAGACTTCTAGTCTAAGACTTCTCTCCCATCGACTTCTCTCCCATCGTGTCTTCAACGTCCTGGACTAACTTCTCATCCTACCTTGGCCCCGATGAAAGGGTTTGGATCTGCATAGTGTAATCTGATTCAAGGTGTACTGCAAGATCCTACCGTGCTAAGTGGCCCTTTGATGTGATCTTCTTAGCAAAGTTTGAACACCGACATTACAATAAGGGTGAGGTTTTTTGTCTTCTTCTTCTAGACCTACATGTACATGTACATACAAATAAATTACTAACTTGTTGTTGAGTTTTATATAGTGTTGATATTCATTTATGATAAAGGGTTAAGATGCCGGATATTAGATGCTACAATAACAAACTGAACATTCTGTGTTCTTAATTTAAGAGGAAGCCAACCATCACAGGTCAAAAACATATATAAATTACTAAATCAGCCAGATTTTGATCAATATTGTTCATAGAATAGGGCAGCAATTAAAGTATAAAGATGTGATTGAAGAAACTCTAACGAGCATATGTACGATGTTAGCTGCTTTCTGTTTGTTATATACCATTTAAGGTAAATATTTCCCTTCTATTCCCCAGAGGGTAATTTTAATCAATTCTCTGTAGACTCTACAATAGAATTTGGTTCAAGATCAGAGTATCCAAGATTAAGATAAGACTGTTGTAGAGTCAGATTACAAATGAAAGCTCAAGTTCAAGGTCAACACATTCAAGATTAAGATTTTAAAGAAATGTTTTGGATCAAAATCAAAATCAAGAAGAGTCCAAAATGTTTCTTATAACAAAAAAAGGTTCCAAGTTCCATAGTCCAATTGATACAATTATCACATTTTCTAAAACTTTCAATGTGGTTAGTGACATAGTGGTTTGACCCAAACACATTTAAATTACAATTATAATCACTGATGAAAATGTATTTTTGTTCAGTTGAACACATTAGATTAGGTAAAGTGACAACTATTATTCTGAGAAGTATTTTCGCTCTTTTTATGGTATATGTATTTCTCTGTTTTAAATCTTAGGTTGCAACGTAAAGATCTGTGGCATCTACATGAAACGCAAACTCATGGCATCTGGACTTTCATACCTATGGTCTTGTCCATCTCTTCAAGTTGAAAAGGTAAGCGGTATCAGTTAACATAATTGATCTTATTAGTATGTTTTGTTTTTCTTCAAAAGCCTACAAATAAATAATCTGTTCTAACTAAAACTGCTTTTGTATCAATATTTAAAATTTAAAAAATTATTATCTTTCTACTTGATGTATTTTCCAATAAAAGACATTAACATGACTAGAAATACAAAAGTTGTAGATAGATTGAAAAATTACACTAGTATTTATTAATATTTGTATTACATAACTTTCAATTTCAAATTCTAGACTGCAGAGCCTGAATCCCCTGCAACATTATGCTTCATATGAAACATCAGCCAGCCTACAGGTACAAGCTCCCTTTCCCAGCTCTAAGCAAGAGGGACCACAATGCTAAACAGATCGTGGACTTGTCGCTTTCTCATTTAACTACGACTTCCAGTGAAACAGATTATCAAACTAACTCGTCTGAAGATATTGAAAGTGCTCCAGTCCGTGTACTAACATTTGACATTAAGTATGATAATATTGGTAAGATTTCATCAAGTAATATTTTAAAGGAACACTCAAAACTTTCTTGCTTTCTCAATCGTCATATAAACATATAATTATCTTGTTTACACTTTAGCAACCCTTCACAAGGTCTATTTAGTAACAGCACCAGACAGAGGAGAGCGTATTATCTTGTTTACACTTTAGCAACCCTTCACAAGGTCCATTTAGTAACAGCACCAGACAGAAGAGAGGAGATATAGACTGGTGCACTTTTAATATCTTCAGATGAGTTCATTTGAAAATCTGATTCACTGGAAGTCGAAGTTAAATGAGAAAGCGACCAGTCCTCTTGCTAAACATTTTAATAATACTTCCAAGAATTCTATTCTTTTAAATAGAATTGTAGAATCTTGCTTAAGAAAAAAAAAATATTACAGTTGAAAGATAAAACTAAAGTTCTTATCCAAATTAAAGTTTAATATATTGCTATTTTGTAAAGTGTTGTTACTGATCTATAAATCTATGATTCTGTAATGGAGGTTATTGTTTCTAAATTTACATTCCATAGATAATTATCTGTTCATGGTGATGAATCTTAAAATATCAATTTAGAAATTTCAAAGAAGCAAATTCATCTGAGCAGCAGTGGACAAATTTGAGGACCTATTTTGAACTTTTCGTAGAGGTTCTGTTGTCATGACACTGTGTCGATAATTACCTGTTTATGCCTCAACTGTATATTCTTATTCTTTGCATAACAACAAATTCAAAAGAAACAACCGAACATTGTGATTGCAGTGAAAACAGACTTGTCCGGCAGGAAATAATATATCAACTCTGATTTATGTTGTTCTTAGAAATCGTTCAAAGCTGATAGGAAAAAATGATAATTAACTTCATATAGACGAACTGTTGTATCAAGAAAAACATTTTAACCAACTGAATGTCCTTTAACATGACAATGTGTATAACCTTTTATATAGATTAACAATCATATGGGTAAGACCAATCCTAAACACAAATGTTACTCTGTTAATCTCCACCAATTTACATCGACTAGACAGTGGTAGATATTAACTACAATAGTTTTAACAATTTGCTATCACTTTAATAGCAGTACTTTTATTTGTGTCATTGAAAATATTCTTATTGTATCCCTTGAATTAATTTGCTTTTGCTCGTCATATAACAAATGTGGATTTTCGTGCAATAAAGCAAACAAATAAGGATTAGACTTTAAAGCTTGAAAATCTGTGTAAATTCTTTTTTGTATTTGAGCAATGTACTGTTTGTCATTTAAAAAGAAAAACGGGTTGGGGCACAGAATGAATGGATGAGATTGGACGTTAACGCATGGTAGTAATTATGAAATGATGTGATTCAATGATGGTGTGATTGTTTGATAGGGAGTATTCAAATAACCTAGCAATGCTTTTGTTAGAATCCAGTTTTTATGGTAATTAATGGCCACAAATAGGCTATTAATTTTGTACAGAATTCTCCTTTTTCCGATACATTCCCAAATTGAAGTTGGC